ATTACCGGTATGAATGTTGTTCTTTTTATTATTATTGTGGGCTAGGCACTCTGCAGGTGATATCATAGAGAACAAAACAGAAATAAGGTCTTCCCCCAATAAAGGGGAACAGTTTTATCATTTCAGGTTGCTAAGAACACTGGGTCTAAATTTGGGATTTTTAGGGGTGCCTGGGGGGCTCAGTTGGTTAAGTGTCAGACTCTTGATTTGAGCTCCCATCATGGTCTCATGGTTCATGAGTTCGAGTCCCACATTGGGCTCCACACTGACAGTGCAGAGCGTGCTTAGGATTCTCTCTCTCTCTCTCTCTCTCTCTCTCTCTCTCTCTCTCCTCCCTCCCCTGCTTAAGCACACACACACACTCTCTCTCTCTCTCTCTCAAAATAAATAAACTTAAAAAATAAATAAAATTGGTACTTTTAGGTGCACCTCGCTGGCTCTGTCAGTGGAGCGTGTGACTCTTGATCTTGGGGTCGTTTGAGCCCTGCGTTGGGTATTGAGATTACTTACAAATAAAAAATCTTAAAAAAAATAAAATTGGGACATTTACTTATTGGTCACAATTCAAGAGTGGGATGACGTACTTGAACACTACATTTCCGGGATATTACCAGAGTTCTGTGCTCCTCTTCTGAAATGCAAACAATAGCAGCGATCATGCATTCAATGCTTGCTCTGCACCCGCTAGTTGACAAAAATGGTCTCATCAAATCCTCAGATCAAGCCTTCAAATTAGGTATTATTATCTCTATTTTATGGATGATGAAACTGAGGCTCAGGGTAACCTGCTCAAGGTCATACAACTGGCAAGTGGCAGAGCTGGGATTTCGACAATAATCTGCTACTGGAACCTGACCATTTAACCACACGTTAGCCTTTCACCGTGTCCCATGTCTAATGATTTACTCACAGTAATATTACTAAGTGACTAATACTTTGATTTGAATGGGGTTTTAAGATTCTTTTCCTCTAACATAGGAGGTGATAGGGCTCTACCAGGACTCATGGAAACAGAACAATAAATCAGAATGGAGAGATTGAGGGTGGGAAGCCAGTGACAAATTTCCTAAATTAGTCTCAGGATGATTGGGCAAGGATTGTCACTTTGTACCTTTAAGCTTCGGCACAAAATAGACTTCTGAAGTATAGTTTTAGTGCCTGCATCCTTTATTTTGCTGCATGCTTGTGTTCAGTAAACTTCTATCGGCTATAAATACATTTTGCTGGAACACACATTTTGGATAATTTTTCCAAATGTGGCCTCATTTGTCTAAGCAAAGGAAATCCTCTGGATTTCTCAGCAAGCCCAGGGGGGGACCTTACACTCCTGCACTGATTGTTTTCTATTACCTTAAATAAAGGTGCCTGGCATGGGGATGGTTGGCTGAAGGTGATGTGGTTAGGACTGAATGAAGCATTCCAGGATAGGGCCCACGAGACAGCTGTCAGAAACTGTTGCCTGCAGCTTACATTGGCTACAATCGTCTTTGTGCATCATTCAATAAAAAATAAAGGTAATGTGTTCATGAGTATCATAGCAAACAGATTGGGTTATTTGCCATCTCTTGGCAAAGTCCAAGGATTGAAATCATTCATTGTTGGAGGTACTACCTTTAATAACAGGAATTCAATTACCATTTGGTTCCTTGCTCTCTGCATGTGCCTGGATTTTTGTTCAAAAGTGATGTAGAAAAAAAAGTGATGTTGCCATTTTGTCCTTCAAATGATATTTTCCAACCCAGGTATGTTTCAATGTATGCTTCTAAGGACAAAATGCCTTGGAAGCCAGTTTTGTGTCTTTCAAGCACAGTAAATCTGAACTGATGATAGTCAACAACAGCATTGGACAAATTGAACAAATTTGAAAATCACTGCTCCTGACCCAGACCTTGTTCTCTGGGATACTACACTCCAAAAAGCCTAGGGTAGAGCTAGCTAATGTCACTGAAAAACAGTCAAGGGTAAGTTTCTATTGTCTTTCATTTATTTATAATTCAATCAGGTTCAGGTCTATACAACAGGCAAAACCAATAGACTGAGTCATGAATTGTTTCACCATTCTGGGCTGTGATGTCAACAAGGCCATGTGCCTGACAGAAGCTCCTGCCAATCCTGTCTTGCTTCTTTGGCACTGTAGTCAGAAGCCAGGACAGAGGTTGTAGGTAGTGTCCTTTCTTCCCCTGTCCCACCTTCTACCTCTTCTTTTTCTCATTATTTGCAGCAGCTGCAGCTGGAGACCTTTTGTGACCAATGCTAACAGACTGTGAGTCTGACTTACGGGAAGGGGCCATTTCTACTGCTGAAGGGCTCAGTGGGTCAAACAGCAACACAGACCAGCTGGAACACAAATCTAAGCCCTCACAGTGAGAGTGGGCCATTGTGACTGTTCTTTTTTTTTTTAAGTTTTTATTTATTTATTTTGAGAGAGAGAGAAAGAGCGAGAGTGCACACGAGCAGGGAGAGAGGGGCCAAGAAAGCAAGAGAGGGCCAGAGAGAGAAGGAGAGAGGGAATCCCAAGCAAGCTCCACACTGTTAGTGCAGAACCTGACCTGGGGCTTGATCTCATGAACCGTGAGATCATGACCTGAGCTGAAATCAAGTCGGACGGATGCTCAACCCACTGAGCTGCCCAGGCGCCCATGACAGTTCTTTTGCAACTGAATGCTGTTGTTATGCTATTGTTAACCTATGCCCTTTCCTTTAGCTTCAGCTCCCTCTACCATACTTTTGTGGCTGTGGGTGTGTGGGCATGCGTGTGTGTGTGTGTGTGTGTGTGTGTGTGAGAGAGAGAGAGAGAGAGAGAGAGAGAGACAGAATCTGAAGCAGGCTCCAAGCTCTGAGCTGTCACCACAGAGCCTGATGCGGGGCTCAAACCCATGAGCCATGAGATCATGACCTGAAATGAAGTCGGACTCTTAACCAACTGAGCCACCCAGGAGCCCCAGAATGGAGTAGCTTTTAACAAAGATGGGGGAAGACTCCTAGAGGAAGCAGGAAGATTTGAGGTGAAAATCAGGAGCTCAATTGTGGGTACATTGAAATTTGACATCCAGGTAGAAATACCAGAGCAAGGAGTTGACTTTTGAGTGTGGAATTTAGGAAACAGGTCTGATATGGAAGTATAAATCTGAGATATATGGTATAGATGTGGTACTTAAAGCAAGGAGACCAGAAGAGATCACCAAAGGAATGAGTGTTGATAGGGAAGAGGACTAAAGACGGAACTGTTTAACATTCTAATGTTAAAAGATCAGAAGATGAAGAAAAAAAGAACATGTACAGTGCAAACAAAAATGTCTGCAAGCTAAATTTGGTCCCTGTACTAGACCAGGTGTTAGGAAATTTCACAGAAGCTCATGCCGATAAAAGAACACAGGTAACACCTATTTCAATCAAAAATGCTAAACTAAGAAACAGAAAACCTGGGTTCTAGTCCTGATTTCATGTCCAGGTGAGTGACTTGGACAAATCACTAAACTACCTTGGGTCTCCCTTTCCTGTCTAAAAAGAAAGACAGCTAGACCAAATGATGTCCAAGGTTTAGACATTCATGCTTCTAGACATTTCAGGGAGGAAGAAACTGAAGCCCAGAGAGAGTGGATAATAAGTGACTTGCCCAACATCCTGGCATTAGGAAGAAACCACAGGCCAGTGTGTCTTCTTCTATGTTGTTTTAAGTCCTTTGTGTATATTAGAATACCTGGGGAGCTTTTAATAATAGTGATTACTGGGTCCCAAACCTAACGTGTCTCATTTTGTTGATCTGGGTTGGGTCTGGCATTGGTGTTTTTGACACTACTTGGGTAACTGAAAACCCTCTGCTCTACACTAACGAGGCACAGCAGTGTCTCGCTAGTTGCTGTACCTCTCTGCATCTTGACTTGTATTTCCAACATGAAAATGATTCACTCAATTTTAAACCCTTTTATTCAGATGAAGGTTGTTTTAGGAGGATAGCTTTCTAGATCTTGTGAAACCAAAGTAGCAAGTATCAGCTTTCTCTGAAGCTTGGTAAAATGGCATGACCATAGCTTTATTGAACTCCATCCTAGAAATGAAATGTTATGGAAAACCATGAAGCCATGTTCTGGTGGGGTGGGGGGAGGAAGGAGGGAGGGATTGTTCTCTCTTTCTCCCTATCTTTTTGGAATAAAAATACAAGTTTGTTCCAAAAAATTTTTACTAGGTTAATTATCAGTGCATTGAGCATAGTACACGAGTATTGTTGCTTTTACTATGTTTATATAGCAGGCAAAGTCATGTTGTCCACCTTGGAAGCCTTAATGCTTTACAGTGGCTTCTCACCAAAGCTTTGCCACTTTGGACACCAACATGAAGAAAAGGTTGCTTGATTAAAACCCGCATTCTCCATATGTTGCAACATTTGGCTCTGTGTTTGTGGGTGCATATGTGTCAGGATGCATGTTTGCATGTGTATGTGTGGGGGTATGTGCTTAAAACTGTATTCTAGTGTTCACTTCCTCTGAGGAGCATGTGTCTAGGAGAATAGCCACTTTGGACTAAGACAGGACACAGACATGGACTGTGGAGACACATTATTTACAGTCTTCCCACACACACCTACCACTCTAGTAGTGTCAGTAAAATGATTTTACCATGCATAATGCACCGGTAATTAACGTGGTAAATTTCCTGTGCATGCCTCTTGCTGATTCCATTCTTTTTTTTTTAAGTGCCCTTTATAACTCTATATCACTTTCTTAGTTTAGAAGCATAAAAATATATTGTGTATTACTTGGTTTGCTCATAAAATTGTCATATTTGATATATGTAAAGATGTAAAGGCCTGGGGGAAAATAACAGAAAAATTCAGGGGAGAAACCAAGCAAGTCCTCTGAAACAATTGTTTTTTTTCCTCTGGGTCTTCATAGTTCTACATTCAGATGTGCAGCCCATAATAATGAACACAGGCTTGGAATACACTCTGAGATTGCTCTAGGGCGACCAGAGCTCAAGATAATTGTAATTTTTAAAAATAGGTTTCACCGTTGTTTGGAACCATCTACAATTCAATTTACTTTATTGCACAAGCCATGAATAATGCTATGAAAGAAAATGGACAGGCTAGTGCTGCCAGCCTGGTTCAGCATTCCAGAAACATGCAGTTCTATGGATTCAACCAGTTGATAAGGACAGATTCAAACGGAAATGGAATTGCAGAATATGTAATCCTGGACACCAACTGGAAAGAATGGGAACTGTATAGCACTTACACTGTGGACATGGAAACGGAGCTGCTACGGTTCAGAGGGACCCCCATTCACTTCCCTGGTGGCAGGCCCCCTCAAGCAGATGCAAAATGCTGGTTTGCAGAAGGGAAGATCTGTCAAGGAGGTAAGGAATGGAAAATCACTGATAGTCAATTTGGCTCAGCTTGGGTTACCAGGGAACCTCTTTAAGTGAAGGCACATTTTAATATTGGAACACTCATAGAATCAGTCATTTGTATTCAGGTCAGATAAACATCTTGGCATTCCAGGTAGTCAATTTAAAATAATGAGGACAATGAGAGGTACTTTGTAGCCTCAAATAATCATGCACGATTTAAAAATCTCACCCCCCCCCCCCCTCTTTTTAAGAGGGGTTGGGGGCTCCCGAGGTGGTTCTTCTAATAGGAGGAAGGCATGAGTCTTCTCCTTGGTCTGTTGTTGACTATGACCTGTGATTGTTTCCACTGCCAGAAAGATTATTTACCCTTTCCCTGATGCATCCAAATCCTGTCAGTCAGGTCCCTCCACAGAAATCCTATTTCTATACCCTCTCCTCTCTGAACTCTCATTGAACTAAAAGTCTGTACCTCACAGCTTAGCACAAAATTGCTTTTCAATTGTTTCTTGTGTATTGATTGTGTCTCCCCCTCCCAAATATACTGCTCCTGGAGGGCATAGCTAATAATTCTTAGCCTCTCCCACCACCCAACACAGTCAGCATCCAATAAATACTTGCACTTTGATTGACTGATGGAACTCCTCTAGCTTGAGGAAGAGTGGAAAGTCCATCAAATCTCTGAGAGCCAGGGGGGAACTTTAGAAGGACCCATATTATTCCTATGTGAGTGTACACCACACTCTTCTAAAACCAAATGCATCTATTTGAAATGGGCTTCAATTTGTCTTTTGCTTGAGCATGACACACCCAAATACCTTTTCATTAGCATCATCATCTAGTTCCTTCTGAAATCTTAGTAATCCTCCCAAATGTTTAGGTTTTCTAGAGGCCAATTTACATCTCAATGAAACACTAATTATCAAAAACAGACTCACCCTTGAAGGACAAGTGCTATTACGTTTTTCATCTATAACTCACGAGGTCTATGGGCTCCCGTGAATTTAAAAGTTCCTTTATTTTATGAAGACAACATAATACTTACCCTTCACAGGTGAGATAACATGTTTATTCTCAATAACTCTATTGCCATCCAACTTAAATTAAGGTACTCAAAGTTTTCCATTCGTGGACTTTTTCCTCCAAAGAAACACCCGGGTCAGGCTTAATTCATGTGATTTGTTATTGTCAGAGTGGTGAGTGGTTTTGCTTCAGAACAGTGAAATTGCTTTCTGTGTCCATGAAGTCAACAAGACATACTGTGCTGTAGAAAAATGGAATTAGGTAGATGTGGTTTGATTTTAGAGTCACCAGAAAGCATGAGGAGTTGCTTCGTGGTGCCCTTTATTTACAGCCTTTCTGCGATAATGCCATTCTTCCTCTTGTTCTCTACAGGCATCAACCCTGCCTTTGCCGTGATGGTCTGTCTCGCTTTGCTTATAGCCCTGTTGTCTATTAATGGATTTGCTTACTTTATAAGGTACATTTTTGTTCTTTTTGTATATGAAAGTACAAGACCATAATGGCTTTGGTAATATTTATTTCCTGGAAGTCATGTTTCAGTACAATTTCCTCATTACATGACTCACTGATTTTCCTTTTTTCCATGGTGATTTACCATCCCTACTGGCCCCATTTAGAGTGAAGTGTTTTCATGGTGCCAAGAATAACTTCCTCAGCTGTGTTGTCAGTGTTGTTGCCTGTGAGGAGATCTAATTCTCAACACTATTGTGAAATAAGAGAATTAGTATTTTAGAGCTGGTTTACTACCTAGCTGTGCTTCCTTTTCCACTGGCAGAGTCTCCTATACCCATCTCCTTCCCCCAAATGTATGGACAAATAGAAAACAGAATTGGGATGTTTTAACCAGCTCTAAGAATTGCTCAGACTTTGGCTAGAATCCAGGAGTTCAGAATAATGGTCCTAACTCCCAGGATCATAGCAGAGATTCAATAAACCCAAGTAAGTAAAACACCTGGAATAATACCTGACTCATAGTGGATGCTCAGCAAGTGGTCAAGTCTCCCCTCCTTCCCAGGTGCATGGATTCTCCTGCTGATTGTTGGGAGCCCAGAATCCTCACCTTGCCACTCATGCCTTTTGCTCAAGGTGTCACATTCCAGGTTTGTACTGTCCTTCTTCCTTGGACAAAAGCTATCCTAGCGGATCATCAACACCATCATTATCAAGTCTTTGTCTTCCTCCATGAGAGTCCGTGATAGGCGAGCAACTACTCTGATGAACTAATTCTGGATCAGGGGTAAATGGTTGAAGATGGCTTCATACATCACTCCTTTCTTATAACCTTCACATTTTAACAGATGAACCCTCCCCATATTAAGATGATTTGGGGAAAGTAAAAAATGAAATCAACCACAACTGTCCCATTTTACCCTTTCCATCCTACTAACCACACCTTTGTTATGTCTTTGCAAGAGTGGTCCTGACAAAAATATGACATGAATTTGGTAGGGAACAGAGTGGAGCTATTTTAGCAGGTTCCAAGAAAAAAAAATGTCTAGAGTGTACTAAGAAGCTGTGGAAATTTGGACAAGACACTAAACCTTTCTTGGCCAGAATTTTCTCATTTGTAAAATGAAGGGATTGGATTAAGTGATCTTTAAGAGCCCTTCCAGCTCTGATGTTCTAATGACTCTGTGAAATCCTGGACTGAAACTCTAACAGGTGTTAACTCTTAGTGTTTAGTATGTTGGCATCACTGTGAAAAACCATTATTCAATCTCCTCATATTAGAAACTCGATAAAACCATACAGAGTGGTATGTAGCTTATGAATTGTTAAAACATATTTGATAAAGACATTAGTTCAAGGGAAGTTTTTCTTTTAATTTCTGTGACTGTGAAATATCCCTGCTCAGAACAGAAATTTAATGTATTGAATTTAGCTGCTGCCAAAGACTAAAGGATTGAATTAACATCCTTAGATGCTTAGTGAAAATAAATGCCATCCAATCTAAAAGCTCCTCTCTCTAGGGAGATTTGAAGAGTAATGGGCTCTGGTTACCTAATGCCAAAACATCCCATGGCAAGGTGGAAAATGGAGTCACTCAGTTGCTTATGTTACTTGTCAGTCAACCTCCCACCTTACCCTCCATGACTGGTCTCCCTGGTCTTTCCCATGGAATGAACTGGTTCTTTGGGCTTAGAATAATGAGCTCAATCTGCAATTCTTTGGAAAGCAAGAAAAACAAGTCTAAAAACCATGAGGGGTGTTGTTTGGAGCTTGTGGGCTGAAGGGCCAAGAAGACTAGAGTGGAAAATGATTGGAGAGGGACATGATTGGAGAGGGACATGATTGGAGAGGAAAATGAGTTTGAGACAATTGGTACTTCAAGTGGTCACAGAAAACTCAGAGATGGGAGAGAGACACATCATTTGCCAGAGCCACTTGGTCAGTGGTTCTTCAGCTAACAAAGGACAAAAGATGCCCTCTCTTTGCTGCCTTCCTCCCTCTCTCTGCCCACCACGGCTGCAATCAGAAGAGCTGAGCGTCTGATGAGTTTCTGTAATAGATGGTGATTACTTGCAGGAGAGTGACTCTCTGTTCCTTCCCTTTCTGTGTGTTTTGATTGTTTAAGTTTTTTTTCTTTTTCAGAAGGAAAGACATGCAAAGAACCCAACCACCCCAAAACAAAGCATTCTTTGAACTTCTCCTTTCTCCCTGCTCTGAACCAGATTGCCTCGCCTTTCTATAAAGCTCTCCAGTGCTTTGTAATACTAATGATGATAATGATAATAATGAGCTCTTCTACTTTCATGGTGCTTCATGCTTTTCAGAGCACTTTCACATACATTATCTCATTTGATTTTCAAAACAACTCTATAAAGCGGGTAATGCAGAACTATTATCCTGCTAGACAGATGAAGACACAGGGGCATGAAGAGGTTAAATTATTTATCTAAGGTCATCTGGCTTATTAATGACAGAATCTGCACTACACCCCAGGTCTGTGGACTGGGAGTCCAGTTCTCTTTCTACTGGAGTGTGCTCTGGAGCATGGTTATTTTTACAGGTGTGCCTGCCTTAAGACAATTCACTACACATATGAAATAGATAAGTTAGGGAGCGATGTTTTACTTTGCCAAAAGATTCATGTGCTCTACCCAAGAATTCACTACAGGGCTCTTTTAATTTTCTCTGCAGGGTAGAAGCTCCCAGAGTGATAAGGGACATATTTGTTGGCAGGCAATTAGAAACACATTAATTGTTTGTTTACAAACCAGTGGAATTGCTGAGAAAAACCGTGTTGCTGGTGCTTACAACTACAGTGACATTGCAGAGTTCTTTAGAGCAACTTGACAAAGCATTTTGATTCAGTGGTTGTTTTCCCCACTCTGGAGCTAGCTTTAAAACATTCCACAGGGTGACCATTAAGGGGTTGCGGAAAAAGTGAAGCCAAACTGTTGCTGTCAGAGCCCCAAGACAAAACAGAAGAAAACAACCACACAGACTAAATCCAAGGTACCCTCTGGGTCCTTGAGTTGCCGGGTCAGCTCAACTGAGATGACCTACCTGGATGTGTGGGTAAGGCATCATAAACTCTTATGTGTCTAGTAATTGATTTGTAGGAAATAATTACATTTGCTGCAAATTAATGGGCATGTTTGAAGAGAATCAGGTTTAAACTGTGTCTGTGTAATGCTCAGACAAGAGACCAGTTCAGTAAAAGAGAAAAAAAAACCCAGTCAGCCCACTTGTTTGGAATCATGTAGACAAAGCAACCAACTGATTGCATTTTTCCACTTTTCAACCTGTTGCTTTGGCAACGCATAGATGCAACTTTGCAAGACAAGTGGTCTTGTGGGCAGAAATCTGGGCCCACAGCCAGGGACCAAGGACTTAAGTGAGTCCCAGTGCTGCTTCAGGCTAGGGGATCTCACAATTTGCCTAATTTTGTTTTGTTTCTTTAATGTGTTTTTGTGTCTATAAAATGGAGATGAATGATTCTTGGATTGGGTATTATTAGGATATATACTATGGCATATGAGAAAGGGTATTGGGCTCTATACAAGTATTACGAGGTATTGTTTTGAATGTGCTCTTGATGAGGGATCACCATTTTATTAGTCTGACCTACCATCTCCATGTAGCATCCTCACCCTCCCCTTTTGATGCCTTTTCAATACCATTTTCGTTTCTCTCTTTCGCTCTTTGTAACTCTGCAAGTTGTGAGAAACAGGGTTGCAGTTTCTCTTTCCTGTGGGTAGTAAGGGAGAGATCTACGTGTGGTTATTCTCTCCATGATCCTGTATATTTCTACAATTTCTATCATGGGGCAAATTTGTCCTGGGTTTTCAAAAAAATATTCAGCCCCCTCTGACCCTCTGATTTTATGCTTATTTCAGGCGTCGTATAAATAAAATCCAGTTGATTAAAGGACCCAACAGAATTCTACTGACTTTGGAGGATGTGACATTTATTAATCCCCACTTTGGCAGTAAGGTAAGGAGCATCCCTTTCTCTTGATGCACTAATGTGGTATCCACAAGCCACAAATGACTATGGAGCACTGAACGTGTGGCTAGTCTGAATTGAGATGTGCTATAAGAGGATTTAGAAGAGTTAGTACAAAAACCTGTGAAATATCTCATTAAATGAAAAGCATATATTAATTACACATCAGAATGATAATACTTTGGGATATATTGGGTTAAATAAAGCATATCATTAAAATTAATCTCACCTGTTTTGTTTTACTTTTTTAAGTTTATTTTATTTATTATGAAAAACAGAGAAAGTGTGAGTGGGGGAGGGGAAGAGAGAGAGGAGAGAGTGAGAATATTAAGCAGGCTCTGCACCGTCAGCACTGAGCCCTACACAGGGCTCGAACCTATGAACCATGAGATCATGACCTGAGCTGAAGTTGGATGCTTAACCAATTGAGCCACCCAGGTGCCCCACGTTGCCATGTTTTTAAATGTGACTACTGGAAAGCTTAAAATTATATATGTGGCTCAGGTTACATTTCTACTGGATAGTGCTATCTTAGAACAGTTTTGTGGAAGTGATGCAGTGCACTTTGAGCAATAGTGTAGTTTTGATTTAGTATAGCCCTTCTTTGTATATCTGAGCTCAACATTTGGTTGCTAGTTCCTCAAGGGCAGAGGTACATGTTTTCTTAATGTTCATCCATAGCACCCGACATATATGCTGATAGTATAATAGGTACTTGTAAAAGTCTGGTGAATGAATCAACCAGCGAAAGACAATGGAGAATCGTGGAGGGTTCTGTTATGTTCGGGATTGTGTTCTAACTAGCCCTCTTCACTGAATGTCCATTACTATGTTCTGGCCCTGGGCTAGGCTTTGTGAGAGATGGCATGTGGTCCCTGCCTTCAAAGAAATTACTGTTAAGTGAGACACAAATTATACCTCACAAGAGAGTTGATAGCTGCCATATTGCGCAAAAAGACACTAGAAATATGGCAAACTTCAGAGGAGACATATCAATGGATGAAGGTTGTTTTAGAGACCAGCTTTGGTGCTGGATCTTCAACAAGGATGGATAGGACTTGTCTAAGTCACAGGTCACAAATGGGTAACCAGTTTTGTTTGACCCTTATAGTCATAAACAATAGTAGCCAGTATCTTGATATTGTGGGATTAGGAATAAAAATCTGGATTTCTGGGTGTTTTTTAAATGTTTATTTATTTTTGAGAAGGGGGGTGGTAGGAGCAGAGAGAGAGGGAGACACAGATCTGAAGCAGACTCCAGGCTCCAAGCTGTCAGCACAGAGCTGGATGCAGGACTTGAACTCACAAACCGTGAGATCATGATCTGAGCCGAAGTCAGACACTCAACTGACTGAGCCTCCGAGGCGCCCCTGGGTGGTTTTAAAGGTTGGAAGATCTGTTAACCTTGGGTATCATTGTGAGAATTAGCTGGAACTCAGTAGTAGTTGCCCTTTTTCAATAGAAGACGTATCAGACATTAAATTGATAAGAACAGATACTACAGATACTACACTTGACCTTAGCCAAAAGGCCCAGTGATCTTTTTGGAAGAAGCATGCTCTGTGCAGCTTGTCACAGTTCCCATCACTGTCTATGATCTTCTACTCAGCCTATTTCATCAATTTATAGTTACCTTCCTGGCCCCTGTAGGCATCCTAGGCAGAGAAAACAGCATCAACCAAAGCTTGGAAAAAGAGAATGTGTAGGGAAGAATTTTGTCAACTATATCTAGTGATGGTAGAGTATGCCTCTTTGTGCCCAGTCTATGTGGCTAAAATGAAGACATTAGTTTTCTCAAATTCTAGTATTGTGGTAGCAGGATGTGAGGAGAGAATGTGAACACATCATATTGTCCCCATGTGCTATTTATTAACTTTAGCTGAACCAGTGTACCAGATAAGAGAATAATTATTTCTGTGACCAAACTGATCATTTGCCTAAATGTGACACTGAAGGGTGTGCTCTAACTAGTTGGCTGTGTAGCTGGGATCAGATGAAACATTCAGCTGTTTAGTTTAATTCTCAATTACAACCCTAACTCTTACTTGTTTAAATCATCCAATTTTTTTGTAAGGTTGATATCATGTTCCTGGAAATGTATTACTGAAAGCCAACATTATCACTGTGGCTGAAAGCTACATTCCATCCTCATGTCATAAAAATGCATTGATGTTAGTCTCTATTTTTGAAGCCACCAGAGGACCCTGGGACTCATGACACTCAAATTTGTCTGGATGTGCCATTCTCAATATGCCTTGTATGAAATTTCCCACCTTAATTAGAAAGGGTAGATGCCAAAAGTGCCAGTTCTGAAACAATCCCAATAGATAGCCCCATACTAAGGAAACAAGTATTCAATTCTAAGACAAAATATTTTGTCCAGAAGTGGGGAATCAGTAGTAAAAGCAGATGATGAGAAGTCATTGTTCAAATGTAGCCAATGTACCAAAGTTATGGTCAAAAGCAATAAACCTATTTTTAAAATTCCTCCTTCTTTGGTGGTATCCATGTCAGAATGACAGTTCATGTCAATTGCCTACATGTTTTGGCTTTCGAGTGTTAGAACAACAAACACAAATCAATTTTGGGCTGAATTAGCCTCCTCTTTGTATAGGCCTTTCAGTAGTCCAGCAAAGTCTATAAAACCTCCACTTGTGCCTTCTCTCTTTCCTACTGAGACACAAAACATATTTGGGTTTCATGCCGGTTCTCACAAAATCACCATAATTAACAGAATAGTACTACCTTCAGATGAACAAAATGCTTAAGTTTTAAAAATTTTGTTCATTATGATAGATCTTTTCTTTCTACTTGTGCATAAATTTTGATATAATGAGAGTAAAAAAAAACCCACACCCAATCATCACCACTTTTCACCATATGAGTGAGAAAAATGAATAGCAACAGGGGTTGATAGCCTCATAGGGAATGCTTCTTCTTTTTTTTTAAGAGATTCTTTTTTAAAAAGTTTTATTTATTTACTTTGAGAGAGAAAAAGCACAAGTGGGGGAGGGCAGAGAGAGAGAGGGAGAAAGAAAGAATCTCAACAAGGTTCTGCACTGTCAGCACAGAGCCTGAGGAGGGGTTTGAACCCAGGAACCAAGAGATTATGACCTGAACTGAAGTCGGATGCTTGACTGACTGAGCCACCCAGGCACTCTGGGAATGCTTCTTTTATTTTACACTATTTTGGTCCAAGTGGAAACGGATGGCATTATCCTAGAACACAGCTCTTGGCCTCCAGATCCCTTTTGGCATTTGGCTTGTGTCAGAGTTTCTGGTGGGAAAAGGTAGGGGAAGCATACATTTTCCTTAATTGCTGTGTAGTCACAAACTTGCAGCTGGCTGTGTCTAATCAGTCACAAAGCCAAGCCAAGAATTCCATCCAAATGGAATGTCTGAAAGTGTAAACTCTTGGTGAATATAAAATTAATTCAGTCTAGAAAAATTGGCAGGTCAGTAGAAGTCAGGTCAGGGAAGGAAGTTTTTAGAAGGAAGTAAAGCTGAAGCCCAAATGTATGTGGATTTTGGCAGATACTCTTGCTTTCTCCTTTGCCCCTTCATGGAGAGGTCCAAGTCTCAATATACAGATCTAGGTGCTCCTGCTGAGATATGAAAATAAAGAATGAAAGAGAAGTAGATTCCTCCCTGGCCTTGCTCTGTTGAGGAGAGTTCAGGTCTATGCAAGGGTTATGTGAAGAGTCAAGTTTTACATCTTGTCTAAATAGCAAGCTGTTGGGATTTCAACACATTAGGGGCTGGGTATAGTTTGCTATTACCTTGGACCTTTGTGATAGTCCCATCTTGATAGAACTAACTTAAACCAGGGCTAAATCAACCGGCGATCTTCAGTTAATCAAAGACCATTAGGAGCAGAGTATGTGAAAGTACTTAAGATTAATTTGTATTGGCAAGCAAGAGTGTTAGATGTGAAGCACGATGTGTTAGAAAAAAACACGAGATCAGGAATTATAACATCACATTCTTCTTCCAGTCCCTATATCCCTCACTAGGTCTCTGTTTCCTCGCAGAATGAGGGTATTAGAGTTGGAGGCGGTCACTAGCCTAGACAATACCAAATATAACTGCTATCTCTGAATTGCTGTCATTCTAAGGAAGGCACATTTGGACACATGGAGAAAAGGAGGAACCTGTTGATTTATTATTTTTTCATGTGAAATAAGTCTGCTGGTTTAGGTGGGGACAAAGATGTTCAATTTTAAAGGTTAACACAGATTGCAGATAACTCTTCCTCATGTCATTCGACTGTGTACTTCCTAGTCCTCTCTTACCAGACTTATGTGGACAAGTTAACAAATCAAGGAATAAGGAATCTGGTCTCTTTAGGCATCAGACTTATAAATCATGGGCAGATGATCTACTCACTCTCTACCATCTTATTGCCTTCTGGGATACCTTCTGCCATTAATCTTGCCTGTACAAAGAAGGATGCCATTCAAGATGGTATAGCAAAAAGAGCCAGGCCTGACAGCCAGAAGGATGGGATTATGTCCTAGTTCTGCTACTGATTTTTTTTCAAAATGTGAGATGTTTATCTTCTTCTTATTTTTGTCTATAAAATGAGGGTCCCAGATTAAATTGTGTCTGCCACTCTTTCTTGCCCCCTAAATCTATGATTCTAATCCTCTCTAGGAGATGGAAGTGCCTGTAAACATTTACCTTTCTTTTGTGGTATATGGAGGTGAACATGGTAGCAATCCTAGCCAAAAAAAAATTGTGTGGGGGATAGGAAAAATTAATCTTATGTTTACAGAGTTCAACTCATATAGTTACTTTCTGAGGAATAAAAAAGAAAAGGAATTGCCAGATAAGCACAGTATCTATACCATAGCTTAATGTTTTGTCCTAAATCATATAACCTTTTTTTCCTACTCCTTTCACAGAGAGGAAGTCGTGCCAGTGTAAGCTTCCAGGTCACCTCAGAAGTCCAAAGTGGGTGGTCCCCAAGGCTCTCCTTTTCTTCAGGGAGTCTAACTCCAGCTACCTATGAAAACTCCAACATAGCAATTTATGAGGTAGGATATCCAAGAGCTATCTAATCTGCTGCCTTCTTCGGTTTTAAAATGAGACAGTGATTTACGACTTAGTCTTTGGGTGAAAATATTGAGGCTTTTGGTAATTCTTTCCAGTGTTTGGTTTGTTATCCACTTTTGGACTTGTTTGGCTTACATTTTGGACAACGATTTTCCTCAGCAACTAATCTAGTTACTTATATAGCTTCATCAATCTTTCGAGTCCATCTATTTACTGTGCGTGTGAAAAAATGGTGGATTTAAATACTTAACCATGTCACTCATTCTAGGAGATATGGGTGTAATAATAGAAGAAATGGCTTCCTCAGTCAATGGTTTGCAATGGAGTGTCTAGAAACATGTTTGTGTAGAGTAGAGTTTTGGGCAAACCCTACGCTTCAAATTCTAGTTGTTCTTCTGATGCCTGTCATCTTTGGCTATTACTGAAATCTTTTAAAAATCATTTATTTATTTCTTTTTCTCAGACTGTGCTGCCTTCTGGAGTAATGGGTTACCTTCTGCTGTGTGAAATGGAAATCTTTATTGAAAATTTTCACTTAAGTTTCTGTCTTTCAAGCTTTAAGAGGCCACCCCTGACCCCTTGTTCTAAGATACTGGAATTTGGCAACCAGAACATATCTTGCATCAGTTGGAGAGATGAACTGTTTCTTCTCAGCAGGAAAGAGTTAAGCAGGGGGTAAAAGGGAAACTAGTCCCTCCTAAGTGATGCCTTCCCAGTGTGGTTTCCTTGTTTTGTTTGAAGATACTCCCAAAAGCAGCAAACACTTTCAACTTCAATAGTAATTACAAAGAAAGTCCAAAACAGGACAGAATTAGTTTTTAGATAGTCCAACATATTGAAATTTCCAAGTGAGTGCTCCCCTCCATTGGCTAAATAATTGACAGAGGCCTAAAACACCAAGATCGGCATGATGTATATTTGCTCAGTGTACCTGAGTACTTTGACTTAAATTTGTAGCAGGAATCCTCTGGATCTGGCCTTGAAGCTAATTTAATCAGAGGAGATTTGCTTCAGATGTAAGCTTGCGGTATTATGGAATTGACAGCTCTACTCTCTCAAAGACCAAAACCAAGATAATTACATAGATTTAAAAAAGTGTTTATTTATTTTGAGAGAGAGAAAGAGAGAGAGAAAGAGAAAGAGAGAGGCAGAGAGAGGGAGAGGGAGAATACCGAGTAGGCTCCGTGCTGTCAGTGCAGAGCCTGATGCTGGGCTCAATCTCATAAACCATGAGACCATGACCTGAGCCAAAATCAAGAGTCAGATGCCTGACTGAGCCATCCAGGCACCCCTACATAGCTTTTGAATGTCAAATTCAGTGAGCTGACGGCTTTATGAAGATATTGACACCTCTAACATTCTGAAATAATGCTCAATAATCTAAAGTGGTATCTAGGTTTTTCATCTGTAAAATGAGGGATGGAACTAAATTCTTAATCTTGGCTACTCATTAGAATCTCCGTGTGAAACTGAAAAATGTACCTGTGCCTAGGCTTCATCTTTAGTGACTCTGATTCTATGGCGTAAGCTCAGGCATTGGTATATTTTTCTTTCTTTCTTTCTTTTTAAAAATCTTTAATGTTTATTTTTGAGAGAGAGAGAGAGAGAGAGACAGAGTGCAAGCAGGGGAGGGGCAGAGAGAAAGAGGGAAACACAGAATCCAAAGCAGGCTCCAGGCTCTGAGCTGTCAACACAAAGTCTTATGTGGGGCTTGAACTCACAAGCCGTGAGATCATGACCTGAGCAGAAGTTGGAAACTTAACCAACTGAGCCACCCAGGCACCTCTGGCATTGGTATGTTTTTTAAAGGTTCCCTGTGTGCAGCCAGGGCTGGGAATTGCTGGACTAAGAGATCTCTAAGGCCTCTTCTGGCTCAGATATGCTATGATTCCCTGATTCTGTAGAAGAATTTATGTGTTGAATTGTGGTATGTTTTATTTAGTGGAGATGGAAGGTTATAGTGTAGAATTGAGAAGGGAAAAAGTAAACCTCTGGAGGTAACTGGCCTTTAAGAATCTGTCAGATATTTCCCCATTTCGGAAAGAGGCAGAAAGTTGAGTTAGTTCCCATAAATGACTGTTGGTCGGTCAGATCATGAGTATTTCTGAACTGTATAGGCCAAAGGGGGCCTTTATCTGCACAAAAGGAGGTTGTTAGTGAGAATAATACCACACCATGCAGTCAAGATTAGGCTGATGGCAGGGTGCGAAGGAAGACAGCGGAAGCTGGAAAACTGCCTGGCAAAGGCTGAAGAGGACTCTGGGAGGGAGTGTAAGTTAATTGAATCAACAGATCAAACAAAGCAGTTCAGTGTGTCTTCTGAAACGGTCCTCTATTAGGAGTATTTTAAAGAAGCTTCGTTATCTAGTTTCTATTTAAAATAAATCAGGTTTTCAAAAGAATTGTTATTGGAAGATCTGCACATTCCAGATAACATGCCTGGAGTAGCAGACGACTAATACTAGCAAAGGGCAGCCTTCTCTAGGATGTGCCATAACATTGTGCGACACTGACACAAATTTGCACTTGGATTATGCACAGAGATGCACAATCTTAGGAACTGCACCAGAAAATCAGCCCTTATTTCATAGATTCTCTTTGGGATAAGAGAGGAAAGCCAGATGAGCAGCCTGCTGGGGAGAGAGAATGTGAATTGCAGATACAGTGGGAACATGTCATGATCCGCTCTAATAGCCCCCACAGTGTACGGGAGAGGGGTGAGGCAGGCATTAATGCAACCCTGATACACTAGGCGAGAACCTATTGAACTTATCCTCCCCCTTCATCTCCAACTCGTTCTGCCTCTCAGCCTCTCCCTGTGTTTTCCTCCTTGTCTCATTTCTGTCTCTCCACTGCACACCCTCCCCATGCATCTTCCTTTCCCAGAGCCTCTTTTCTTCTATTTTCCCACCTTCTTTTAAAAGTTTATTCATTTTGAGAGAGAGAGAGAGAGAGAGAGAGATCACAGGAAAGCAGAGACAGAGAGAGAGAGAGAGAGAGAGAGAGAGAGAGAGAATCCCAAGCAGGCTCCACACTGTTAGCACAGAGCCCAACTCGGGGCTTGAATCCACAAACCATGAGGTCATGACTTGAGCCTAAATCAAGAGCTGGATGCTTAACCAACTGAGCCACCCAGGAGGCCTTCCCACTTTCTTCTATATCACTTATACCTCTCTCTCACACCCCCCTCTCCTTTCCACCAACCATCTCTCTCATCACAGAATTGTCCAGCTCTTTCAATAAGAAAACTGGGGCTCAGGCTGATTAAGTGGCTTCCCTAAGGTCACCCCTGAGTTTGAGGCAGAGCCAGGTCTAGGACCTCATTCTCTTTTTTAACTTTTTTCTTTATTAACATTTATTCATTTTTGAGAGACAGACAGAGAGCACGAGCAGGGGAGGGGCAGAGAGAGAGGGAGACACAGAATCTGATACAGGTTCCAGGCTCCAGGTGTCAGCATAAAGCCCGATGTGGGGCTCAAACCCATGAACTATGAGATCATGACCTGAGCTGAAGTCAGGTGCTTAACCGACTGAGCCACACAGGTGTCCCAGGACCTTGTTCTCTTGACTCTTAGTTAATGCTCCATGGCCTTAGTGCAAAACTGATGGACTTTAAATTACTTCTAAAAACTTTAGTGGGTAGAGTTTGATGTTTCTTCTTCTTAATTAAAAAGTGAATGATGAATGAACTATTTTATCATTCTTTCTCTTAAAACAAAAACAAAACAAAACAAATAGTGTATGTGTGGTGAAGATAAAACCTGCCCATTTTCTTCCGTTTCCTCATTATTCATGAAGTAGGACACACAGAGTCTCAATTAAAATTTGCTTATAAAGTTTGTGAGAATTATTTAAATCTTAAAACAAACACACACAAATCCCCCAACCCAAAGAAAGCCCATGAGAGAAAAGAGCAATCAAGTGGAAAGTGGAAGGCCTTGGTCCTGTTACTACCTAGCCTTCTGACCTTGGGCAAGTCATTTAATCTCTTTGGACTATAGTTTCTTTATCAAAATATGGATAGATTAGAATAGGGATATCCAAGACCCTTTCCAGCTCTCAAATTTGGTGATTTGGCTGGGAAAAAAGCTCTACTTAACTCTTTCTAAAAGCTAATAAGTCAGAGAGAAGGCTAACCCATGTCTATAATATGGCTGACTCCAGGAAGAAGGTATCAGGTACTGGGTTTTGGCAGAGTCTCAGTACTGATGTTCAGGTTGTGCACTGAACAAGGGCACCATGTCTAAGAGGGTGCTATTCACATT